GGACAATTTGCATCCCAGTGACAAGTGTTAGCGGCAGCTGAATTGTCAGAATAACACTCCAAACAAAACAGCTTTCGGAGTGCATCGTGAAGTGTACTGAAGTAACTGTCAGGGTAGATGCATGATGTCCCAGGAAAATGTGTAAGTTTAAAATTGTTACGAGATTAAATCCAGGGCATAAGCGTAGTCGTTGTCTGGGACCCCAACACACTGGGACCTTGAACGTATCCTCTCTCACCACAAGACGGAATGCAACCAATATTTCGGAAACGTGACTTTATATAAAAGTAGAATGATGGACAGAATCCAAGTAAATAGCTTTAACTCTTGAAAGAACAGTGGTAACTCTACGTACCACCTACTGCAACAATAGAAACTATATTTTTCCCACATAGTGTATTTATGTGTTCCGTACGATTCTCACAATATACAGCGATTATTTCCCTAAACAGCATTAACCGGTTGGGCTTTGTAGCGGAGACGTAATGTGTTTCCTGTGAGGTACGGACTGAATTTATATATACTGCATTCTACCCACACAGTGTATTTATGTGTTCCGTATGATTCTCACAATAAACAGCGATTATTTCTCTAAACAGCATTAACCGGTTGGGCTTTGTAACGGAAACATAATGTGTTTTCTGTGAGGTACGAACTGAATTTATATATGCTGCATTCTACCCACACAGTGTACTTATGTGTTCCATCTGATTCTCACAATAAACAGCGATTATTTCTCTAAACAGCATTAACCGGTTGGGCTTTGTAACGGAAACATAATGTGTTTTCTGTGAGGTACGAACTGAATTTATATATGCTGCATTCTACCCACACAGTGTATTTATGTGTTCCGTATGATTCTCACAATAAACAGCGATTATTTCCCTAAACAGTATTAACCGGCTGGGCTTTGTAGCGTAGACATAATGGGTTTCCTGTGAGGAGCGAACTGGGTTGTTGTATATTATGAGTATTTATATGTGCTTAGGCGTTGTGGCATTTTCTGGCAGGAGAAGCTGCTCGTGTTAGCCCGGTGTTGATGCTTCATGTCAGCTGTACTGATAATTGCAGGCAGGATGTAGACAACTCCTCTCTCAGCTTGTATTTATTAAGTAATCTTACCCCATGATGAAAGTTCCTCTCATTTCAAGCGTATTGCGGTTCCGCAGATTAGAACAATGTTAGTAGTTAAACGAGTTTATTTGTGTGTTTTAATAGTGGAACATGGCTGCACGCCGAAACTCTCACCTAAATACGTATGAGGTGACATATTCGGGTCTGTAGTAGAAAACGGTTACATTAGTTTCCATTCTGTGGCAGGGTTATTCGAAATGGAGTTCCCTCTGGGATATGGCACCGGGGCCGTCGCCCCGGGCCTCACAAAATGGGAAAAAATTGCACAAATTTTATTGAGACATCTGCTTCTGTGAAGTCACAATAAGTTAGTTTGTATGTTTACATAGTATAAATTAAGCACAGTAGATCACTGTAGGTCGCGGTGCAAGGGCCAAGAAGGCCAACCCCTTATATATTCATAGTATAAGAAATAAATAGGAATAGTTTCCGTAACCCAAATGTTATTAGTGATAAGGGTTCCCACTTTTTGATTACCCCTGGGTCCCCAACAACAGGAAATCGGTCGTGTAGTGAGGTAGGTAGCCTTCGTAAAAACATCACAGTCACGGTCTTGCGAGGAGGACATGAACTTTGTTTCAAACTGTACATGATATGCCGCCGGTGATGGCTGTGTCAGGCGCGGACCACGTGTGAGGCGAAGCCCCACTCTGAGAGGGGCACGTGCCCCGAGAGATCAGCTGACACTGACAAAGAGAACTGTAACACGCACAAAACCATGAAATATAATTCCGTGTATTTATCACGCTGCGTCTGTCACTGCAGTTGATAACTTTCAGACTTGAGTGCTTCTCGGGAAAGAACATTTCTCCGTTCCTCAAGTTGTGGAAAGCTACTTTATTAGACATGTCTGGGGGGTGTAGTGTTGTAGTGTCTCTGGGAAGTCGGACAGATTACGGTGGCTGGTGGCTTCACTCAACGCAATAAATTGTAGCAGCTCAGGTCAGTGTACGCACAAACTGGAAACAAAGCGTCAGCCTCTCTTTACGGATACAGCACCGTCGGTTCCGGCCAACCTATTCAAGCACAATGGCAGACATAAGTACCAGTTTAACGACGCTATCGGTGTCGAGACTGTTCGTATCGTTAACATTATAAGGCTCAGCGTTTCGTGAGACTTTGGATTCAGGGGGGGGGGGCGTATGAAGTAGGTCTAGAAGTAAACACAGAGAAAGCTAAGTATATTTTACTGTCTCGTCACCAAAATGCAGGGCGAAATCATGACATAAGAATATGTAACAGATTTTTTGAAGATGTGGCACAGTTCAGATATTTGGGAACGACTATAACAAATCAAAACCTAATTCAGGAGGAAATTAAGAGGAGATTGAACTCTGGTAATGCTTGCTACCATTGAGTCCAGAACCTTTTGTCTTCTCCTCTGCTGTCTAAAAACATAAAAATTAGAATATACAAAACTATAATTTTGCCTGTGGTTCTGTATGGGTGTGAAACTTTGTCTCTGACATTAAGGGAGGAACATAGACTGAGGGTGTTTGAGAACAGGGTGTTGAGGAGAATATGTTGACCGAAGAGAGATGATGTGACAGGAGGTTGGAGAAAACTAATGAGGAGCTTCATAACTTGTACTCTTCGCCAAGTATAATTAGAATGATCAAGTCAAGGAGAATGAGGTGTGCAGGGCATGTAGTACGAATGGGAGAGAGGAAGAATACATATAGGATATTGGTGGGAAAGCCGGTAGGAAGGAGACCACTGGGAAAACCAAGACGTAGGTGGGTGGACAATATTAAAATGGATCTTAGAGAGATGGGATGGGATGGTATGGTATGGTATGGATTGGATTGGATTGATATGGCTCAGGATAGGGACCAGTGGAGGGCTCTTGTGAACACGGTAATGAACCTTCTGGTTCCATAAAATGCTGGGCAGTTCTTGAGTAGCTGCACAATTGTCAGCTTCTCAAGAAGGGCTCAGTTCCATGAATGAGTGAGTGAGTTGTGGTAAATAAGTAAGGTTACCGACGTTTCGAAGGAACCTGCTGCCTCGATCTTCACGGTAGAAAACTTTGAAACCTGGAGTAGAAGGGCAGATGATTGTTATCCCTTAGTTCGAAATATTCTGCTCAGTATCCCTGTTCGCAGACATCATATATATGTGCTATACACTTAAGGTGAAACATCCGTTACTTTTCAAGAGTTCGTCATGATTTGTTTGTTTATATCGTAACCGAAATGGCGGGCGGACACACGCCAGTTTGTACACGTTGCAGGAGCTGCAAAAAAATGCTTTATTGAAGGTCAGTCCGAGAGATGCGAGGCAAGGTGAGGTTTGTGACGTGACCTCCCGGGGCGGCTTGTGCAAGGAAGCGAGCACTTGCATGTCCCCCCCTCGAAGTGCTAGGTCACGGTAATGGCTTCTCTCGCGCCTACTGCTGACGACTGACGTAAAAAGAATTTACTTACTTCTGTGTATGGGTATGAAGCTGGTTTTCTCGCAATGAGGTCACATTCTAAATATAGGGTATTTGCACCCGAGACACTGGAGGTAACAGCTGAATGGAGAAAACTGCGTTATGAGGAACTACATAACACGTGATTTTCTTCAGGCAGTATTAGGGTGATCAAACAAAGGATGAGATAGGTTTTGTTGGAAAATCCGAAAAAATCCGAAGGTAAGAAACCAGTCGAGAGCCAGAGATGTAGACAGAAGCATAATATTAAAAATTAACTTCAGGGATTCGATCGGCATAAATACGGGGTCATGTGACCACGAAAGTGCATATCAGGTTCAGTAAAAGTAGGGCAATTTCTTGATCAGCTGAGCCAATACCAGGTTATCAAGAAATAATGCACTTTTGCTACCTCCGTCTGCTTCTACCCGGAAGATGGAGTTGCAAGGTCCTTCCGGAATAAAATTATACGGTATCATTCCAGAAGACCGTAATAATACAAATTTTGAAGCTTTTGGTCTCCATTTTACTTGCTGCCCGTTAGCCTAGATGCCCTTTCAGCACGTTGTCCTTACCAGGCGCAGTCTGTGCGTTTCCCCTAACGGAGAGACCAGAAGTCTTGTGGTTACATTAGTCTGCACAAGGGGTGCAAGTGGTACCTAGGTCCACTGCGCCAAGAGCTAAGCAAATTCAGCTTCCGTACATCTCCGCCGCTGTTGTAGTGTTCGCATCACTCCTGAAGTCCTCTGAAGGTTAAAGCAGCATTTCTTTTTCAATTGACCTATTCCTTCCAGCTGCACTATGGCCCTGGGGTCGACTCAGCCTCTAACAGAAATGAGTACCAGGAATTAATCAAATAATTTTCCTGGGGAGTAAAGCGCGGCCGGCGCGTAAGGCTGACAACCTTACCGCCATCTTTGAGCCGATTGTCTAGATAATGTGGGACCCTCAACGTCTCACAGCCCTGTGGGCCTTCACGGCCTGTTACAGGGCTAGCTTTACTTTTTTTACTATTACTTCAAAAATTGCAGTTCAAGGGTGTCCAACGCTACGGACGCTGCCCGAATGTATCACGGGATTCCCTTTTGTGCCTAAAGGTGATTTAAATGACATTTAAAAATTCAGCTGCTAGCGCCCACACACACTGCGTCTCCCTTACCAACACCGGTCGATTCAGAGTAAGAATATGTGCAGCATGTAGACAACAATTTGTATGCAGTAGGAAGGTGTCTTTGTCTTGGTTCTCGCTTGTGAGTATTACATACTTTGTTGGTGAAACAGGAAATGCATATAGAAGTTTGATATGGAATCCTCATGGATATGGCAGAGAAGTAAGTATGGCAGTCACCTAGTCTGTACCCAACAAGATCATGTTTAAGTTCAACATAGAAAACCAACCCTAAAGTGTCTGAAGGTCTGCGACTAATTGGTGTCGATCTCTCTTGTTCGCCAGGTGGTCCACCCAGTTGGCGAGGTGAAAATGTCGCTTCAGCATCACCGGTATCTACTTTTGGTCCTGGCTCTGACGTCACTGTGGCCTTGTATCCACGCCGATTTCCGTTTCATCTCGTACGAAGGTGAGTCACAGTTCCGCATCTGTTTCTGCAGGCAGTTCATCCTCCGGCTGCGTCACGCTTTGTTTCTGCAGGGGCACGAAATTGTGGGTACATTGCGCAGGGATGTACATAGTTCAACTTCTTCCTTCACTCCTGCTCCCCAGAACCTTTTTAAGCACAGTGATTACTGTGTGTACCACCTGCTTTAAAATAAAAGTTCTGCATTCTGCCCACACAGTGTATTTATGTGTTCCGTATGATTCTCACAGTAAACAGCGATTATTTCCCTGAACAGCATTAACCGGTTGGGCTCTGTAGCGGAGACGTAATGTGTTTCCTGTGAGGTACGAACTGAAGCTATAAATATTCAGTTAACTTGATGCTCGAAATGGTTAATGCCTGGTTCCTCAGTGTGACAGGGACCTTGGGCCTGACAGGTACCCTCAGCTTTGTTTAATGTAGCATGATGCAACTCTCTGGTTCCTGTTCTTTACCCGTTATGAAGCGCAGTAATGTACGAGCTCAAGAACTAGAAGGGCGGAAACCAGTCGCCCGTAATGGCCTGCTCACTGTCGTGACAGGGCTATCTCGTTAATTTATTGTTTCGTCCTTCCTTCATACAGCCTTCTGTGTGCTATTAGCAGCCTGTCACAAGTGTGATTTTACAGCAAATTATCTTGAAATGTATGGATAATGAAGAATATGGCCTTGTTACGGACACGATCACCCAGTCAGCCAGATGAGGCAACCAGGCACAACATCAACCAGCCAGAAATTCTGACAGACAAGAGGGTTAGCCAGTCAGGCAGTCAGTCAACCAATCAGCCCTACCGACAGTTAAGTAATTATCGACCCAAAGATACAGACAGCCAATTGGTCGGCCCGCCATTACTCACACCATGTGTTGAGGTCTGTGATTCGCAGCTTCGAACCCCATGCATGTAAACGGTAAAAAAGTAAAGTTATCCCTGTAACAGGCCGTGAAGGCCCATAGGGTTGTGAGACGTCGAGGGTCCCACATTTTCTAGACAGTCGGCTCACAGATGGCGGTAAGGATGTCAGCGTTACGCGCCGGTCTCCCTTTACCCCCAGGAAGATTCCTGATATTCATTTTTGTTAAAGGCTGAGTCGACCCCAGGGCCATAGTGCGGCTGGAAGGATTAGGTCAATTGAAAAATCAGGTGACCTCATCAGGAATTGAACCCGCGACCTCCCGGTTTGTAGCATAGCACCTCAATCCCTCCCCCCGCTCTTGCATATAGAGGGTTCTGCAATTCGTTCCGCGTTACATAATGTGAAATGTTGAGACTGGGTTATCAGTCGTTTTGTGTAAAAAGCTGTACTTTCTGTGTTTCAACCTCTGCACGCAGACAGGCTTCTCATGAGCAGGGACGTGTCGAGTGGGTGCTAAAATGTATGTCGTTTTCCTGACAACCAGTCTGCCCTAAATCACACGGCCACGCTCCGTCCACCATTAACCGACATTCGTTACACTGGACCTATTTTGTTTCTAAAGTACGTCCGTTACCGACTTGTTAACAGTTTCCTTTGTTGTCTCCAGTTACACGAGGACGCCGTACCTTTCACCGTATAATTTACGTCTTATGACCGTAGAGTCTCTTTGAAGTCAGAGAGCGCAGGAGTTACCAGTACTATTGCCATGAGGCATCAGTACTGGGTCCAACGTGAATACCAGCCAGAGGGTGCGAATAATGTTATTCAGGTATCTGTGTCATTGTTTTTTCTTTCATCACATCACATCACTTATGTTAATAGGTCTAAATGTACACGTTGTCTTATTTTTGTGTATTTATTAAACATTCAGTTCGTGCTTCACGATCAACTCACCGCATCTCTGTTACAAAGACCACGTTTTCAGTGGTTTAGGGAGACAGTCATTGTTTGGGAGATCCGTGGTCCCGTCTAAACCTGCATCTTTCTTTTTAGGGCGTTTTTCATAAGTCAGTGTCTTTATTTTGTTCTGGAGTGATTGCTTTAATTAGTGCAATATCGACTGTGTATTGGGAAGAAAACACGGCTATGCGCTTTGCTTGGGGTCTTGTGCATAGTGACAAGTTTCTGCATCAGAGACCTCGACTGTAAACCATAAATCATAAAGGGAAGACAGGAAAAAGATTAGCGTCGTATAAGGAATGCTCTCTTACTTACGTGAAGACATATGGTCTGGTAGCAGTTTACCGACTTTTGGAGGAAGTGCCTCCTTACAGACCCACGGGGCTTAGGGCCCCTATAACTTTTCCGTTTTCCCTCAAACTCGGCGTCCTCTTCTACTCTGACGATGGAAGTAGCGGGTTCTCCCCTCTTGGCCCAAATAAACTGCGGCATTGTACAGTAATCTTCACATGCACCGCCGTGAGCGTATGAAACCTCACGAGAGCCCACCTGCTGTAGGTGATGCTGTCACACACGCGCGGCGTACGAACAGTAGCATAGCCCCGACATCACAGAGCGCTCCTGTCTGAAGGCTGGAGGACGAATGTGAAGCACTTACCCGGCCGGCGTGTCGGCGGTATGTTGAAAGGAGGAACGGTTCCATCTCTATTCATTGTTCGTATTATCAATTCGTCAAGGTTCAAGGCAAACGTATACCGTGGGCGGAATTTACTGCAATTGAAACACTCTGCGTGTCGCTGCTGTCAGCGTGCTGTTTCCATGACAATCGCAATTTGCAGTTTCTCTTTGACGCAACTCTCCAGTGTTACGCTAGCACTTACGGGAGAGGAGTCAGGAGTGACGAGACATTTCCCAGCACCATTATGGCATGAGAGGGCGTGGTCTGAGACTGCGTAAGGATGGGATGACCGCAGCACGCATAGATTAAAAGCTTTACTACACTTTAAATTACTTTAAACATTACAACAGGATCCAAACCATATTTTGTTAGGGCACAGCGAGAACCAATGGGAAGCTCCAGATTTTGGGCATTGTTTAGGGGCTGTCGTCACTGCAGACGTTTCAGGGAAGTATAAATTTTCGCTACTTGATGACTGCTGGGTGGTTTTCTTGTGGATGGTGTGGTTACCGTCCTCCACGTCGCTTCGTGCCGTAATATTCCATTGTTCGTCAGACTGAAGCTGCAGAACGCATGAGTAGATATTGTCTGATGTCTGAAGGGGTTTGGCTCTGGTAGAGATTGGCATTAGAACTGTAGCGAATGTGACGACATTTTTGTTACCTGGTAATTCAATTTCGTGCTCCTTGAAAGCAGGGTTTGATATGGATTTACATGGTTAATTCTAAAGTCATTCAGTGTTCTGTTTTGAATGTGTTAGCTCCTCTTGTAGTGCATGTAGTTTGTTAATTTTTTTATTGCTAGTGGGGTGGGACTAAGTCCCTTGTACTGCGGCCACTTCTGGCCTATTGTACCAGCCCCAGATGATAGGTGAGGGTGATTGTGGAGCAATTAGTGTCTGGTAGAGAGGGGCATGAGAACT